TATGCTTCAAGTATTCAGAGGAGTTCTGGGCCCCTCTGCTGCACCTATACCTTTTCCCCAGAACAGAGAAACTGCCCCCAAGACCTACTCATCCACTCTTGTGTTAGTCTCAGAAGTGGAGTCTCAGCCGCCCCATGAGAACAGCTTCGGCTGCAACAATCTGAACAAGGCAATGACCAATGGGGAGGACTGGGACGAGGCTGGGGGCCCAAGCCTGGCCTTAGAGAAAACATTCTGAACTCTGATGGTGAGAAACATGGTGAGAAAAGAAACATTCTCCTCAGTGCTAATCTTGAGAAAGGCAGGAGGCCTCAGAGCTCAAAGGTTCTGTGCCAACTCCTTCCCACACACATACTTGCTCACCTGTAGGCCCCCCATCCTGGCCATAGCCTTTACTTCAGCCTGTGATTCCATAAGTACCCTCCGGCACTGCAGTGCTGCTCAAGGAAAGAGCAGAAGTCAACTTTGTCTTTATTCTCCTGCCATGTCTTGTAGAGCCCCTGGAGGGAATCAGGGAGGCTCTGGGCAGAAAGCCTCTAGGGTGCTGGATGAGCTCGCTCATATCACCCACCTACTCTGGGCAGCAGTTCTGCAGCCCTTCTTTGGAGAATTCACAATATCGCCTCTATCCACCCTGCCCCCCAGTGCACTGGGATAAAAAAGGGGGAAAAAGGTGCTTGTGATGACATTACCCTCCCCCCACGCCACCACCACCACCACACACACACACACACACACACACACACTCAAGGCATCCCAGAGTACATTCTCTGGAGTAACTCCCTTCCATTCCCCAAAACGTCCACAAATGGCATAGAATCAAATAGTTTCTGACTTTCTTTCTCATTTCCGTTTGGTCTGGGCTTCGGAGGGCCTCAGTGTTGTCATGGCAACCTGAAGAGTGGGTCCAGACACCCTCCGTGGGTGGGACTAGGAATTCCAGATTCCTGGGTTCTTTTACCCACTGAACCTGAGCAGTCTTAGCTGTCCCACTTTGTCCCTTTTTCCTGGAAGGCAAAAGGGAGAAACCTGACATGTGGGGAGTCAACAGACTGATTCTGCTCTGATAGCCTTGGGCCCAGGGCTGATAAGATAGAAGAGTATGGCTTTGGATGTTATCATAATACAGACAGTCCCTGACTTACAATGGTTCAACTTCTGATTTTTCAACATGACAATGCTGCAAAAGTTGTACCTATCAATAGATGAGTATGCATACAACCATTCTGTTTGTACTTTCAGTACAGTATTCAATAAATTATAGTATTCAATAAATAAGTTAGTTAACACTGTATTATAAAATAGACCTTGTGTTAGATAATTTTGCTCAACTGAAAACTACTGTAAGCATTCTGAGCACATTTAACATAGGGTGGGATAAGCTACAAAGTTCAATAAATTAGGTGTATTAAATATATTTT